CCGAGAATGAAACCAAACAAATTAATAATGTAAATGTAATATATATGTAAAACAAATTAAACTGTTTGTAATTTGTGATCTTGAGATTCATTTATCACAATAACTTTCAGTAGGGCTGACATAGTGTATGTGTAGCGAGTATTATGATAAAAAAATAATGATAAAATACTGACGAACGTGTCACTAAGAGCACTCACCCCAACGTATTATTATTTTGTTATTGTTTTTATTTTATTATTATACTCTCGTTTTATTATTGTTTACTTGTGACCGAATTAAATTAAGAACGCAACAACTCAACGAACTGTCTGCCAAAAAAAAAAAAAAGTGTCAATTGAAGCGGTAAGCAACAATACAAAGATACATTTATTTATAAAGTTAAAATGTGCTTTTAGTCAAGTCTATGGCTGTGTCACAAAACCTACTGAGCGTCCTACCCAGACAGCATAGGGTCAAAAAGCGCTGCGCGCACAACCTGATCTAATAAGAAAACGTAACTATTTTACGTTTTGGAGGATTCATACGATTTGACTCGTATAAAAACTTATTTTAGGATATTTTAAGTACGCACGAGGTCCTAAACCTAACAGTAAACCTAATGAAGTCGAAATAATTCATAAGAATGTGTCAAAACGTAAAATAGTTACGAATTGCTATAAGAGTGTGTTGGCATGTACAGTGAAAGCCATAAGCGCTGCACGTGCCTAAATGTATACTAATCTTAATTACAATTTGCGCACACTATTCAAATGCTGCCGCGTTGATGCTCAAAATCCTCCACCTGATGCCCAAATGCCCTGTAGGCTACGCGTCTATAATGTCCCAGAATGTTGCTTTGTTTGGCATTATAGGCTTGTGCAGCATATTTAGCCATCATGCTGACTCGGAACTATATGCTGCACATCGCTTTGACCCACTTGGCTTGAGTGTGCGGTGAGTCGGAGTCCGGACGGTGGCGCCCACTCCTCCTCCCGCGCGCATCTTCCGAGGCATTAGGAAACGTTCTTCTTTCTATCTGTCATACAGTCATGAACTGGACATTGGTCGTATTGGGTAGTGTGTGCTTACTGGTCCTCGGTCAGGACGCGTTCGTTCACGGGAAGCGCAACGCGAGGACGGTGTCTTTGTCTCGGACTGCACGCGGTCACTCGAGACACAGACGGGACACCTGGACTGGACAAGCGCGTTTCACTGCATGCAAGTCTCCACTGTCACCCAAAGACCAAGCGCTTCTGCTCAGCCACACGCACGAGGTGAGAACGAGATCCTGAAGTTCACTCAATCCGAATAAAGATTTTTTTGGGGGGGGGGGG